GTTACCGACATCTGGTGAAAATTTCATGTCAATAGCACCTCTAGTAATATATTTACTGAGAAAAATGTGGACGTGTTCAATACTTATTTTACCTGCTGTATCGATTTGAATGGTTCATGATTCAGTTATATCGAGGCAAAATGAAAATATCGATCTATATCGTCATCATATGCTCGATGGGAATCTATAACATATGCCCATCTAACAGTCATATGATATCGCATTATATTGATCACAGACATGTGAACTGAACTGAATCGAAATCATATCGTGACAGACTTTTTGATAGCGAGAAATGTCAAATCGTCATCCTAACATACTGTATCGATGTAATATTGTATCGTGATAAAGCTRGTGATTTACACCCCTAATCTGCATAAAGTTTATTGTTTAGATACATAAAACTGGTAGGTACAAACCAGAAAGAGTCTCCGCTGAAGTTGCAGAAAAATGTGGTTCTTTAAACTGACGGGGGCTGAATATGAGTTACCACCTATCTCTTCCGAYTTTTATTTGTAAAATATCTTGAAGACCGTGTATCATTTTCTTTCTAGTTCACAAGTTTGCATTACTTTGTGTTAATCTATCACATAAAATCCTTTAAAAATATTTTCACTTTTTTTGGTGGGAAACCAATAAGAATACAGATGGAAAACATACCTCGTTAAAGTTTTTACACCTGTGCTGTTTTACGTGAGACATGCGATGTCTTTGACTGATCTTTAGCACATGTCTAACAGTCGTCTGGTCCACAGACTGGAGGATGTCTGAACAGGTGGATTACAGGAGGATGATTAGGGGATTACTGTTTTACTGGTGAGCTTTACTCACCAGGTACTTAGACTTTTTAGGTACAAAAATAATCAGTCTGCCACAGGTCCCTGTGTACCCACCTCTATCCACATCAGGCCTACATTACCCTGTTTTATTAGACCTTTAGAAAATCTTTTTTATTACACTTAATTAATTAAAACAAAACAAAATTCAAYCATAACACAAACACGTTGTTAAAATGAAAAATGAAAAGGAGCAGAAAGAAGAAAAAAATCTTATAACGTCTGCCCCATTTAACAAGAAAATTGATATTACATACATACATAAAAAAAGAATTCATACCCTAAAAATCAACAAAAAGAAAAGAAAGAAAAAGATTTGCAATTGTTCAAACAGCAGCTTAGATAAATGTTTATTATATGTTTTCATATTTTGTCAACAAGTCACATTTTACCAATCTTCCAAATAAACCAATAGAACCAGCATTTTTATGATCGCTAGCTAAGCTGTTCCACAACTTTATTCCTTGAACTGAAGTACATCTCTCTCTCAAATTAATTCCAATTTTAGGTTTAACAAACATTTAAAATCCTTTAAGATTATAAGTACTTTCCCTCTTGATGAAATTAGATTGAATATTCAAAGGTAATGTGTTTTTATGAGCCTTATAAATAAAAAACAAAATTCTATAATCAACCAACTCATAAAATTTTAATAGCTTCAACTGATGAAATAATATATTCGATGGGTGATTACAATGTTTACCGGCTATAATTCTTATGGCTCTTTTTTGCAAAATCATCGTTCTGTTYTCTGATTGGCCCTGACGAAAATTCTCCTGAATAAATCCTCTATGGGAGAAATCCCTGATGGAGAAGTGAAGGGAAACTAGAATTGAGCAGAACTGTGTAGGAAGGCAAGGGCCAGGCTAAGTGAGTGCAGGAGTATGAAATAGTGACTGCAAGGCACGAGGCAGGAGCACGGCTCATCAAAACTATCCTGGTAGATTCACTGCCACACATATCAGGAACATGTCCAAATGCAATAGGTAACCAGTTAACCATTGGAAAAATGTTAAATACTGTTATTTTAAAGTAGAAAACACAATATTATATGTAGCAAGTAATAGATGATAGCTTCATTAGAATTAGAAATATGTGTTTTTCATCTTTAAAAAATATGAAAGTTGTAAGTACTTGCGAAGKATTAACTGTCTGAAATCTTAGTGAAATGAAGCAAAAATAACTGGATTTATAAAGCAGGACCTGTTTAACTGGGTTTCCATTGACCATGAAAATGCGCAAATTAGAATTTCGAAAATAAATTTGCTCAATGGAMACACGTCATTTTAGAAAAAAATTACGTTTTTCGACAAACTGTTTTTGCGCTAGGATGAGGTGGTTTTTCGGCCGTATCGAAATTGATGTATTTCACAAAACTGCAATGGAAACACTTTTTTCGCATCACGGAAGTCACGTGATCCACAACCAGCTGTTTCTACTAGCGAAAAGACGACGAGGAAGATAACAGGAAGTAGAAGTAGTAGTGAAATCACCGAAGTTGTAAAAGAAAGTAGTAAACTCACAGACTATATTTTCCCAAAAACGCAGCATACGTAGCCGCTCCAAAGTATAAGGGRCTTGTCACTGGAAAGCCTCGATAAGATGCCAACGTCTCCTCTGATGGCTGATGATGAGCGCTAGTGTCGTGGTAGCAATATGCTATGTGGTTACATCCATTGCCGCCATGTTTGTAACGAATTATCGCGAGAACAAGCGTATTCACACGTGACTTTAATGGCATTTCTTACTTAAAGGCACAGTGTGTAGGATTTGTTGTTTTCAGCGACATCTAGTGGTTTAGTGGTTGAATCATCCTCCCTGGTCCTCCCCCCACCCCCACACCCCGCTTCCAAACGCAAAGGAGTTGCTACGGTGTCTCTCAGGTGTCAAAAACCTTTRATAATTCCAACCGCGATGTCTACCAGCAGCTTCAGGCTAGTGATGTTTCAAGTGGTAAGATTATGAGCTTTAATAAGTAAAATTATCGCAGCTACAATGACAGACAACAAATATTACATTTATAGTATTACAACTAAAAGAGTTTTTGATGCCACCACCGCAGTTTGTCCTTCATGAGCCTTCGTAGACAAGATGGCGGTGCAAGATGGCGGCTGCCTGTAGTGGCGACCCGGGACCATGGAGATATAGACAGCTTTTTATAAGGTAAAAATAATAAAACAAGGTCTTTGTCTGCAATGATCAGACATGTTTTTTATTATTGCCGTTAGTGATTATCTTAATTTSGGCTAAAAGAATTGACAGAATCCTACACACTGTGCCTTTAATGGAAACACTGCAATTGTGAAACTGTGTTTTTTGACATTAACAGAATATCGATAAATTTTTGCACACATATGCAATGGAAACGCAGCTAGTGTTAGAAAAGATTATCACCAATTTCCAAAAYATGAAAAATGCAGTAGTTTCTTGTGATTGTTTTTGGGCTCATATATTCAGACTCCTTATTAATGTTTAGAAAACCTTTTCTTTAATGACTGCCAATGCAGACTCTGAAAGCAAGCCACGTGATGGTGACATTGTGTTAGATGTTAGACACTCACCTCTGATCCTGGGTCCTGAACATGGCAGGACTCGCTGTCTCCCTCTGAGAAGGAACCCGACTCGTCACTTGAGTTGGTGACGTAGGACTGCTCGCATTTAATCTTGGGCCGCACCTGGCTGAACAGGGCCTCACTTCCCACACTTTGCTCTTGCTGGTCCATGTTGACACACCGTGCCATGTTGGAGCACGGCGAAGAGGAGAATTCAAATTGGGGCAGGCTGCAGGGGGAGCCTCCACTGCCGTCCTCTGCGTAAGAGTAAGACGAACAGGAGCTGGAAGTTCTGGTTCGTGCATCACAGGGTGGTGAGCGTGGGCACACTTTGATTGGCACTGGACAGCTGGTGATGGGCCGTGCACGGCACAAGACTGAGGGCTCAGATGAAGCGGTGCTGGGAGAGTAGGGCTGGGAGTTAGGGAGGGACTGGCTAGCTCCGGCCCACAGGCCCTTTGTCACTTGCTCGGAGAGCTCCATCTCCAAGGAGTTTCCACTGGGAAACGAATGCACTGGTGTTCCCAAACGGTTACAGGCCCCTGAAGAAAATATGACGCTGCTACGGCGGTCTAGCTCAACTTCCTGTTTGCAGACCCCATCACAGGAAGGAAAGTTGTCAAGCTCCTTTGGGGATGTTACAGGCAAGTCCAGCTCCCCAGTGAAAGGCCGTAAGTCTTTTTTATGATCTCCCTGAGAGTTTCCATTGTCCTGGGGGCAAACAAGTCTGTTTGTGATTAGCTGCTGTGAAGTGTTGGACAGGCTGGGCACATCTACTCCTTTTTTGAAAAAAGCTTGGAGGCAGGATGGAGATTTTGTTCTCTTGGATTTTTCCAAAGATACGGGGTTATCCATTTCCATGGCTGTCACACCGTCTGTGTCTTCATTATCCTGCTCTTCCCCCGACAGGCACAATGAAACGGTCTCCTCCTCTGCCTGTGGTTCCACTTTGATCTGGGCCACAGGCAGCCTGTCCTGACCTGGCACGCTCCCACTAACGCTGCTCTCCTTAAATGTGCTTGAAAAACCTGAGGTACTGGTGTGTGAAGAGATGTCGTTGTGCTTGTTGCAAGCCCACTGATACTTCCTGTACTTGGGGCATCGCGGCAGGTCCGATGCTCCGTGCCGATCAAAGCTCAGCCGGCTGTCTGTGAAGTTACCGGGCATCGTCATTGCTTGCCTGTCGTCATCATCAGGGTGTTGGAAGGAGGTGAGGGTGTTGGCACAATGCTGTGCCGTAGGGGAAGTGGGCCTTTCCGTCTCTGACTGCATGCTTTCATCTTTTGAGTTGATTGCCTCTGCTGCTCCCTTGTGGCAAAACAACAAGCTGTCGTCTTCTCTGCGTAGCTGAGCCTCCAGAAAGCGAAAGCACGAGTCTTCGAGGTTATGCATCCGCAGGAATTCAGCACAGCGAATGACCTCCTGGATGTTTTCTCTGTTGAGCAACAGCTTAGCAGTGTAGGCAAACTGCAACAAAGGGGCAAATCCCCTCGCAGTAACCTGCAGAAAAACAGGGAAATTGCCAGCATTACCATCAGCACAGTCATTGTTCAGATCAGTTTGAGTGTGGTTAGAGAAAATGACAGCTCCAATGACCATAAACTACTGTAGCTGTGTAAAGTGGAGGGAAATATTTTTTGGAACCAGGTCAGCATTGCTCATTCTATCCATCAACAAATAAATCTGTAGCCAAGTTTGGTGTGTAACGTCTTGTGTGGATATTAAGCATTGTTACAAACACTGTTTTCCTGTATAATTTCATCCATGTATGTTGCAATTCTGCATTTTATGTTATTCTAACCATTTGTACTGTGCTGTACAGTATATCAAAATGTTTGGCTCAATGGAGGATAATGAAATATACATTTGGTTTTGGTAAGTTTTGATATACTGTATACATACATACATACATACATACATACATACATACATACATACATAC